AATACGACAACCAAATTCTCAAGTTTGGAAGCGAGTCAAAGGAATCAACAATCCTCACTTCAAAATCTTGAAGCTCAACTAAGTTCGTTGGCTCAAACTATTTCTTTAAGACCTCAAGGAACTCTATCAGGTAATACCAAACCTAACCCCAAGGAAGGATGTCATGCCGTAACTCTAAGGAGTGGGCGACCCTTGAAGGAGATTCCTATCTCAACTCTGAGGATCCTGGTAAGAGAAGTTCGTTGTGAAGTTGTTTAAGAAGAAGAGATAGCTCGCTGGAAGCCCAACACCCCCCCCCCCCAATTAAAATCAAGATTGAAGATGAGGAGAAGTCAAAGAAGGCTCAAGTACCTGATCCGACACCAAAAGTTCCTTATCCTAGACGGTTGTTTGAAAGTGATCTCTACCATGAATGTACTCCATGGAAGGATAGCTTGAAGCAATTGAAAGAAATAATGTTGGAAAAGAGGAAAATGGAGGAAATAGCTATGGTATCTGTTAGTGACTTGGCTTCAGCATCAATCGGGTGTCGAGGATTCCCTCCCAAACTTCAAGATCCAAGAATCTTCACTATTCCATGCACTTTTGGAGACAAAAAATTTTGGGATCCGTTAGCCGACTTGGGGTCTAGCACCAACATCATGTCTACACAGATATAAAATGAATTAGACCTTGGACCACTCATACCTACTAAGATGCGAATTGAGTTGGCCAATAGGTTCGTTGTCAAACCAAAAGGATCATAGAGAATGTCTAGCTCATTTTGTTTATCTTGAGGACTTTGTTGTTCTCGACACGAAGGGGTGTGATGCTTCGATTATCCTAGACCGACTATTCTTCGCTACACACGGACTATCATTGATTTAAGTGGAAGCAAGATTACCCTTAAGGTTTGGTAAGGAGGAAATAAGCTACATGATGACTCCAATCCCAAAGTTTCACAAGTATTTCAAGTGGGATGCTGTCAAGATGGATTGTGAGCCGGTTACACCTCCTACCATGACACCTTCAACCCCGAGATAGAGTGGTTCAATATGATCTCCCATGTTGATTCCCATGACGATCACGTTGAAGGTGCGAGTGACGCTTGGAATATCATGAAGAGAACGGGTAAGGAGACGTTTTCTTGTGAAAGGGAAACCCAAGAGTTGTTTAAAGTTTCTCATCTTCCCGTTGGTCATATAAGGAAGCTTCAAGGTTCATCTTAGAGAAGAGACATCCCAAGAAAGGAAGTCGGATGGTTATGGGTAACCTAGCTCCTATACTTGAAGAAGAAGAAGAAGAAGAATTCGGGGAATGCTCTAAGCCACTCACGGATAATGACATTTCTACAAGGAAGCTTGACCTTCACCATCTTTCACATCAATCTTTGAGTGAATCTTTCCTATCTCAAACACCGGATGAGGCATCCTAGAGACTCCATGGTCTTCACTTGGGACTTCACCATAAGTATGATTTCTACGAAGAAACATCGATGAAGGATGGAGACCTTGAGGTTTGATCTCAAGGAATCAAGTCCAGCGAAAAGACTCTTAAAGACGAGCTTGTTGGAGGCAACCTGATTTGGGCTTTATTATACGTTTTTTATCCCCGTTTCTCTTGGACGTTTGTTTCAATTGAGCTCTAAAATGGGTGGTTTTACGCTAGGTTTCTTGTGTTTTAGTGTGTTTTAGATTCTGACATGTGAAACCAACCCCGAAGTTGAAAGTTGGAATAAAAGGAGCAAAGATTGTGCAAAGAGGAGGAATTAGCTTATGTTCACAGTCCGACGTTGGAGTTCACGGTATCCAAGACCGTGAACCAGAACCACAATCCGTGAACCAAGAAGCGTCCAGGGGGTTTCTAAGATTACTGACGCCAAGGCTGTTCACGGTCGCTAAGACCGTGAACTTCAACCGTAAACTGTTAACCCAAGAAGTGAAACAATGCGTTTTGGTTCAGCACACTATATTCATGGATGCGTTTTGATGTTCACGGTCGTGAACTCGGCACGATCTCAGTATAGAGAGCTAGCTGAAAGGAAGAAGAAAGAGGGAGACCTAGGGTGAGAAACTTCTTCTTATTCAGATTTTTAGAGTGAGAAAGTGACAAACCAAAGAAGAGGAGAAGCTAGGGTTTCATCTCCAAGCAAGGATTTGGGAATTCCTCCCCAAAAGGAGGATCTCTTCAGCACAAGGAGCAAGGCTAGCATCTTTTTGATGATTTTCCTTCTTCTCCCTTGTGTTTTCCCTTCTCCTAGCATGGAGTAGTCCCTTCTTTCACTTGGGTGTTTGTAAACCCTAGCTACAATTATGTGAATGCTTGTATGAATTGAATGATTTTGTGTGTGGTTGTTTTTAATGTGAATGTGAAAGTATTATTCATGAATGATTGTGTTGTGTGAAAGCCTATCAATATAATTGTCATTCTAACCTAGGTAGAGAGAAAACCCCGTTCCTTTCTTTGAAAGAGGCTTGCATGCTAGGTTTTCTTGGGTAATTCATTGCCTCCTAGTTAGGTTAATGCAGGGCAAACCTCCTATTTTTTATTAGTACTTTGGGTTTGGTTGTGGGTGGCCGTCTGAACTCCAATTCGAGGGTGAAGTCTAACCATTCCTTAGTCAATAGGTTGAGAGAGTCACATTTGTGGCTTGGATCGTAACACCTTCCTCGACCTAGAGACTAAGAGGGTAGCTTTGGCTACTTGTTAGACTTCCCTACGATTTATAACCCCCTCACCACACACGGGCATTCGATCCATCAAGTCATAATTGTTAGCTAGGGGGAGCAAAATCCGGGTGAAGCCTTCTCAATTAGTCTCAAACCCATTTAATCTTTGCAAGTACTTTAGCTTTAGATCTTTTTTCACCAAAACTATCCGCTAGATAATGTTTCAAACAATCGAAGTAGTAGTACATGGGCTGGCCCGGGTTTATGTTTAAACATACCTGCCCTATATTGCACCCATCTAAGGTTTATACTTGGGCCTTATGTGGGATTTTATTGTATTAGTCAGAGCGAGTCACAACCCAACCACTCAGTTTGCGTATCTTTTCCTTTTGAATAATTGTTTGAGTAGTAGATTAGAGATGCATTGAGAATGATGGATACAGCTTAGTCCTTGCCTTTGGATGTTTGAATGATTGGGATGAATGGTTGAATTTAGAGAAGTGGAGAAAATGTGATGTCCCGAACAGCGCAAAGATCGCGGTTAGTAGGCTGCAGATCGCGGTCGCGATTTTGGGGCTCAGTTCGCAATCTTGCTAGTCCCCATTTAAATAAAGGCAGTTCTTATGAGATCTATGTGTGTTCATTTTAGTCCATCTTTCAAGATCTACATGCCATGCCTCTCCACTACTCTTAGTTTGTTTTTGAACTTGCCTTCTTTAGTTCCATTTTCCAACATCTTTTGAGAAGGATGATTAATTGCTTTTGGATTCCCAACACGTCCCCTAGCAAGATAAGGTACATACCCCCATGTTTTAACCACCTTATCTTGCCCAACATATGTTGAATGCTTGAGATCTTGAATGCCCATTTTATTTTTGGAATGACACTTTTGTGGCATAGGATTGTTTTTCTTCTCTCTAGTGAACTTTGGGATAGTCTTATGCATCTATTTGGTTTTCAAAAACCGCTCATCAAGTGTTCGTAGAAAGTCCCCAACTACATAGGATTCATTATTTTCAATCCTATTGATTGAGTATCAACTTCATTGCATAGGGTGACTTTTATTAGTTGCTTCTACAGTGATGTGGGGTACCCACATTTTCATTATCTTGGACTCATCTCTCCATCTAAGTTTCCTCTTTTGCCCAAATATTAGTCTCACTTAAGTGCGGAGGGGAAACATAGGGGCGTTCTAATAGTTCATTGCAAAACTACCCTTGCGATATGTGATGTTTGGATTAATGGGTTGTGCATTGTGTACTACTTATTTTGAAGAATAAAATACAAGACTAAGGAAATGGATCGTGGTGAGAGTTCCTCTTCTCATACCTCTCACCCTCGACAAGGCCATCGGACGAAGACATTGAAATACAAGCCAAAAGAATTAGTTGTTGAAGAACCTCATCCACCATCACCTACTCTACATCAACCAAGGGACCTTCATCGGGATAATCAAGTTAATGTAGAAGGCGAATTAGAGCACATACCTCATTATTTTTTAGAACATGTGACCGAGCAATTCAAGACCAAACTTATGGGCCTTCAAGGATTACCCTTAGGCGAAAGTACATTTCGCAACTGGATACTACTCGCACAACTTGGGATTGAGGATGCAATCAGCTCTAAAGTAGAGAATTTGAAATGGCTTAAGTTGCTCTCTATCTAAGAAAATATCTATCGGGTGCTTGTTATGGAGTTTATCAGTACTCTTACCATTCGAGATATGAGGGTACCGCCGACCTAGAAGACAACATCCAATTTCGACTATGAGGAGAGTATCTTTAATTGTCGATCTGGGAATTCGCTAGAGCAATGGATATTTAACCGGCAGAGTTCCTAGACTCACCAGACACCTTTGAAACCTTTACAAGGGAATCTGACTTCCCTTGTTTCAAGGCATTTTATTCCATCCTCCATCGTCATTCTCAAGCTACGCTGCTATCATTCCCTCCGCCACCTTCCGAGCTCGCGCCTAATCGTTGTCGGGTGAGCTGCCAAGGCGAGGCCGAACAATGATCAATTGGACGCATACTTCACAAGAGCGGATTGGGACGGGATGAGTAGATCAGTAGAGCAGGAAACGGAGCCCACGTGGGCGGATAGAATTGTTAGAGACATGTACGACCACGACCCAGATAGTGATTTGGACGGAAACAAGCCTAAGTGTTCTCGATCGACACTTTTAGGAACAAACCGGATAGATTGGGAAGAGTTGTCGTCGCTAAGCTCACTGCTGCTGGTTTCAAAACGGGGAAGGAAGAACCCATTATCCCCAAATAGTCTTTCGAAGCCAGCGACGATCATCATCTCCCTCTACCACTCGGATCACCGATGGATCTTTGTAAGTGAAGGATGAGGAGTGTAGTGCGACAGCGAGAAGGAAGCGCGGCGGAACGACGGCGGCTGGGAAGGAGCTCGAGCGACAGATCATCTGCTCAAACGATGACGACGAGGATGCTAGGAGGCACGACGGCAGCTGGAAAGGAGGTCGGGCGATGGAGTCTCCGCTCCGACGTCGACGTTGAAGAAGAGAGGCTGGGAAGGAGCTCGGTTGTTGTCAAGAGGAAGAAGAAGTAGAAAAGAGAAGAGAGGGAGGCGCAGGATCGGGGTGTATGTTTTTTCAATTTTTTTTTTTTTTTTACATTTTATCTTTTAATAATAATAAAATTATATACTTAATGATTTTTTTTTTTTACATTTTATCTTTTAATAATAATAAAATTATATACTTAATGATTTGCTGATTTGGATGCCAACATAGATGTTGACGTGTCCATCGTCGTTACAAAAATATAAACGGTAACGGACTATTAGCCATATTTTAACGCACAACAAAAGTTATAGCTAATAATTTGTATTTCGATAATTGTAACTATTATTTTGCACTCTGTTAATAGTTCTGATTAATATATTGTATTTACCCTATACTAATTAACATTAAAAAGTATACAAACAAACCATACCTTCTTTCTTTGACTTCTAAATGTGTTCAGATATCTAAGGTTCTGGGAAGACATTATTTTCATTAGTTGAAAAGTTGAGCGTCCTTCGTCAATTGCAAGTTTGCAACTTATACACTATGTTTGGCAACAAGGGGGGTGCAAGTTCGAGGGGGGTACAAGTTGAGGGGTAAATTGTTGGGGGGTGCAACTTGGTGGAGGGTGTAAGTGGAGGGGTAAATTGTTGTTTGGATGAAAAAGTAGGGGGGTGCAAATAGAGTAAAAAGTAAGTAATTATATTATTATAAAATAGATTTATCAATTTATAAAATATTATCACAAAATAATAACATGAAAATTCAATATATAATAATAAAAAAATAAAAAAAATAATTTTAATAAAAATAATTATTATATAATAATGCTCAAATATAATTATTTATAACAACAATAATAATCATTGGTCGAGCAACCTCGAAACTCGAAATCCAACTCGTAACTGGTCATCCTAAGGGGGTTCTCGTGCCTAACTTTAAATTGAATATGGTCAAACTTAGTCAAACACGTTCGAATCTGTAAGTTTTAACTACTTATTAAAGTAAATCGAGTTAACTAAACTGTTCCTCTCTATCTTTTCAACAAATGCTTCTTATCTCTAATTTTCAATGCAAATTCGGGTCAACTAAGAGATATCGATTTGACGAGGCGAACATTGACAACCTTGCTCTCTTAGTCAAACGGTCAACCCCAAACAACTTCTACACTAATATAGATATAAGAAAAAATTAATAATATTAATTATTATGTAATTATAATCTAATTAAAAATTCATAATTCCCCTCCTCCTCCTTCCCCCTCCCTTCCTTCCTTTCCTTGCACCCCAATTTGGGGGGTAAGCCGAAACAGTGAATTTACGCTCACGTTTTGCACCCCCCTACTGTTACAAAATAACCAAACGGGGGTAAACACCTTGGAACTTGTGTTTACCCCTCCAAACTTGCACCCCCTTCCATTTGCACCCCTTCCCAAACATAGTGATAGCCATTTGCCAACCTCGTTTCCCTTTTAATCTTACATGAATAATTTGAATCGTGATGGAGCAATATTGTTTACGTGGACAGTGACAACTGACAATGTCAAGTCAATACAATGTCGCTAATTTGAAAAGCGAAATTAGTCTTTGTCTTTTACGTGAAAAATGTGAAAATGCCACTTAGTCCTCAGTCCTCACCCGTTGAGCATTCAACGAAATTTACTATTTTGAGAAATGTTTCCTTGAAAACAATTCTGCTGGTTGGCGATTTACCTACGCTATAACCAATCAATCCTTAGATCACATCTTTTTCAATTGAGGCTACAGAAAAACATGTCATTAAACTTTAGACTTGATGATCAGATCTATCAATTCGGTTATAGATGATGTCCCCGCTGCTTGTTACTCGGACCACAATGTACATAAACAACGAGTCCAAAACCGTTTTGGCAAACATAAACAGACAGCAGCCAAAAAGAGGGATCTATTATCTAAACCTACATCTACATAGTATGCTACTACCACTTAGCTCAGCTTCCAAGTTAAACCTTCGTTCATTTTCATGAAGTTAAAAGATAACTATTTAGTTCTTCCATCTATCTCCAAGGACACGATTCATCTGGGTTAATACCAAGGGCTGGCAGCTACACGTTCAAACTGATTACAGGCATTGTTGATGCACACCTTCATTTCATCAACCTGTGAACGCACAACTGCAGCTCTGGCTTCTTCGGCATCCACCTTTGCCTTGGCTTCGGCCTCTTTTTGCTGTAATGCCGATATCTGCTTTGCAATCTCCTCAATCATGGCAAACAGATTTTTCCTCTCTTCATCGTTCTCGTGTAGCTCCTTTTCAGAATTCATGACAACATTCAACCACTTGCTTAGAGGTTCTTGGATCAACAAGAGCTTGTTTATGCGATCTCGTGGCACAGTGACATCAAATCCATGGCTCTCCAAGTTAGATAAATTTATGAGAGTGCTATCGAACAAAGCCCTAGCATCATGGATCCGAAGATTGGATATTTTCTCAAACAGATTGGAGAAAGTTACCATCATACCAATTGCTGTCCCTTCACGATAATCCTCGCTACATTCCATGAGAGGGAGAAAATGAGGTTTTTGTGACATGTTTTTGAATACTTCCATGGATTCTAATAATTGCCAAGCTGGTGACCTCTTCACGAATGGCAAAACAACAGGATTGGTTGCTTGATCGACTTGTCTATGTTTCCCGTCACACAATCCTTTACCTGACCAAGCAGAAGATAAAGAATTAATCCATGTTTCGAAGAAAGGAAATAGCCAAGGGATCAAATTACAGCATTTTACTGCTTTCATTAGAATTAATTGAAGAGCATAGCCCTCCAAACCGCATTGATAGAGGTTGATCATCAAGCTTACTTACCTACTGTTACAAGTTAAAATACTCAACCAATTAATGGATGTATGCTTCAGAATGTATACATACCATCCTCAGTCAATGAGGGTACGAGACATAATTTCCCTGGACTTTCCCTCTTTCTTTCTCCACTCTCTTGCTGATTGTGTTCCTGTTCAAGAAATAGATTTTAGTAAAGCTTGTTATCTGATCCAGCAATAGACAAATGAAAAGGGGAAGATTAATCAGTTGGTGCCTCTCTGAGTTCTTGTACACTTGAGCAGCTGATATTGACCGCAAGATCATTCCTGAGCAAAATTCTTGTCTACTTCTATTTTAGCGCAGCTATATTTCACCAGCACAGATTAACTTCAACTCGCATAACTAAACCTCTTAACATGCATTGCCATATTATAGAACATAGACCTAACAGACCCATTAAAAAGAAAGTCACAAACAAAAACATCGTACCATTTAATCCATCTAGACAACCTTCAAACAATTGATACCAAAATAAGCATGATGAAACAGTGTTGCTTACCGAGCTCAGTTCTCCCGGAGTCTCACTTTCCTTCTTTTGATTTTCCGAAGGATTCAGTTTGCCATATTCAGGAGATTGACCAACAGCTCCCAACCCCAAGTTGACGGGGGGTCTATCTTCTTTCTGTACACCCCCAGCTTCATTGCTGTCTGTAATAGTATCATCCTCTGGGTTACAATCTCTATCTTCATTGCTGGTCACAATTGCTACTTTTTGGCAGTGTAGGTTGTGGATGTTTGCCTGTCTTTTCTTCTGCATGAGTGAGGAAAATGCAGTAAATTGAGAACCATCATGATGTAGGAAAACACTCATGTCGAGTCCATATGTACCTTCTGATTCTCTATAAAAAATAGATTGGCTTAAATAATAAAATCTAATGAAAATATAGAGCATCATCCGCTGGTAATCAATTATATACCTCTGAACCGGATATCTTCTTAAAAGATGCAAGAAATAAAGGAAAATATGTGACATTCCTATACACAAGAAAGAAGACATTATACTCATCATTCTGTATCAAGTAGAAGAAAGCTCACAGTCTCCGCAGAAAGCTGGTCGCAATCCAGAGAACTTTCGGGCTTTGTTACTCTTTCTTTTGGCATCTTTGAAGTCATCTGATCAGGAAGAGTTTCTTTATCCGGACCTGAAGAAGTTTCCTTCTGCTTTGTTGCAGATAAACAGGCCTCTCTGGTTTCCACTTCGTTTACGTTTTTGTGAAGTAACTGCGGACTGATAATATCTAGCTTCAACTTCTTCTTTTTGCTTGAGGTCAAGTCATCCAAGGCAGACCTTTTAGCATGTACAGCTGAATCATCCACCATAACAATCCTTGTGGCAACGGAGCTAGGTGTTTTCTCTTTCGGATGATTATTGGAAGGATGAGGGCTAACAGGTGTTACAGCTGGTTCAAGATTGTTAGCAGCAGTATAATGAGAATCCACCTCTCCTTGACTTCTCAGAGCAATCACAATTTCCTGAGAATAAAATATTTGAAATGATGGCATAAGAACATAGCTTTTTAGATGTTAGCTGGTGTACAGTGAATAAGTACAGCAGACAACAAAGAAACACGGACCCAAACTCAAAAATCAAACTCATCACTTATGACCACAAAAAGTATATCAATGCTGCAGAACAACCAATTGTTCAGTTCAGCTTGTAAATCCAGACTACGGGTTAACATCAAGCAAGTTAGAACTATTGGTAAAAATTACAAAAGACCTGCCAGAAACAAACACAATATATGATAATATGAATACATGGTACAAACTTCACCTTGGATTCAGCTTTTGATTCAGTTTTCCGTCCTCCATCATCCCGCTGAAAATCAGGCCTTAAGCTCCACCAGCTAAATTCCCTGTATTCCTTTTTCTGCGGGAAAAGGACAGTGTACCGCCCCCCAATACAAACTCGAGTAATTTTTCCTTTCTGCCAATGCCCGTCGATATTAGCATTCACAGGGTCCATCAGCTCATAATCCCAACGCAGTTTGCAAGGAGGGAGTCGCATATGAGTAGAGTCTACAACTTGCATGTCAACCTTTGGTTCTCCATCATCACAACTGTTCCAGCTCTCACGCTTCACCAAGAAAGTTTCGTCCTCATTCTGTTTGATGACAATTGCAGGGAACCAAGCATCACCCACTTTCCCTTGATCCAAGTTTACTTCTACCTCGGTTCCCAAGCTAAAAACCCCTTCCAACGTTCGCTAAAAGAAGCATCAAAACCAAAAAGAAAACAATCAGTGGCTGCAACACTACCAGAGGGTTCTGTGAAATACGAGCAAAACACTTGCAGATGGTCAAATATAGACTAACGACAAAGTGAGTAAGAAGTAGTTATAAACTAAGACGAAAACGACAATTAGCCTGGATTAAACAAAGCTAACACATCTTACTACTTTAGAGTCGACAACCTTTACACAAGGCGACGCAAAGAAGGCATACGAAAAAGAACAAAAGGCCGATCGACCATTTCCCAAAGATTAATTTACATTCACAGCTTAAACCCAAATGCATGGACAGATATTTACTCCTCCAAGTGTTCTACCGAAACACAGAATGAAAAGAGATCCAGATCAAGGCCCAAATCATGCTGCGAGGAAAAGGGAACTACCAGAGGGTTCTGTGAAATGCGAGCAAAAGAGAGAAAGAAGAGAGGGATACCTTCTTCTTGGGTCGAACCCACTTCCCGGAAACCCAGTCCAAGTGAGCCCTCAGATTCACGGCTTCAAAATCGATAGCATCCGGCGGGTTATCGAACAAAACCCTGTACCTATTTCCCTCATGAACCTTCCTCACAACCCCATACCACCATCCGTCCTTATACCATGCATCAACCACGTCGTTTACGGCATATTTCACTCCGTCATTACCCGGCGGCGGCGGCGGCGGCGGAACCGGACGGACGAAAGCGGGGTCGACCGACTCCGTAAGCGGAATGCGGCTGTTGTCGTCGCTGACTAGCGTGTCATAGCGGACCACGGCATTCTTCTTCCGCTTCTTGGAGAAGAACTTGATGGTGGCCGGGAACCACGCGCCGACGAAGCCTTCTTCGTCCGTGCAGACCTCCACGGCATCCCCTTTCCGGGGCGCGTAGTGATGATGGAGAGAGGAATCTGGGCTGTGGCCGTGGTGAACTTGGGGAACTGGATCAATGGCGTTCACCATGCCGTTGGGTTTTGGGGGACGGCCGGGACTGGAGGTAGAGTGTAAAGAGAAGCCAAGGGGTCTTTTGTTCTGCGTGGGTGGGGGGTTCGGGACAAGATATTTCTATTCGACCCACTCAGTGTCAGCGAGCAGACGAGGAACCAAATCTTGGCTTAGTGGGGGTTAATGACACAAATGTAGTTTTTTTTTAATTTATTGCCAATTAAAAAGTATTGACATTCATAAAAAAAAAATGTATTGACACAGATATTGTGTTTTAGAGATAAGAATCGGCGAGGCCACCTGAGACTCAGGCGCTGCCGCTTTAGCTTGGTTTTTGGACCGTTTTATTTAGTTGGCAGCGGCGGCGCTCAAGACCTAGGCGAATAGGTGGGAAATCATCCCAGGCGGTGGCGCCCGAGACTGAGGCGGCACCGCTGGCTTATTGCTGGCCACCCACCTTATAAAACCCAGACAATTTCGTTTCAGATTCACACCACAAAAAAAAAATCGTCCAAAATAGAGGAGAGAGCTCTGGTTGCTGCTGCAAAAATGGCTAATAGGTAAGAGACACATTTATTTTTGTAATTATATTATTCAAATGCTATTATGATTGTGTTTAGTTTTAATTAGTGAGTTTGTTTTTTTGTAGTGATTTTAGAATATTTGAACTAGTTGTTTGGTGGAAATCGGAGAAAGTAGAGGATAATTTGGGCGTCAAATTCGTTGGTGGTAGTAGTTTTCAGTTGACGGTTCCATCCAGAGTCACATATCACAAACTTTGTGAGAATCTAATTCCGAGAATACGGCGCAGAGACGAAGCAGTAAAAGATAGTGATGTGATCACAGGTTTCACTTACCGTCTTCCAGAATGGCAGAATGATGTTTTATTTCATTAGGCGATACCTATTGTGGATGATGATAGCTTGAATGTGCTTTGGAATTTTATGGCACAAAATCCTTATTGTTTGGGTTCTGAGATACATGTGAGCTTAGTGAGGATCAAGGTGGAGAGGAAGAAGATGATACATGGAGCGTGCCATCCGATCATGACTATGATGACGGTGATGACGGAGAGGAGGAAGATGAGGAGGAGGAGGAGGAGGAGGAGGAGGAGGAAGGAGAGCAGCTTAATTATCCTCCATATTTTTTCTTGCAGGGTAATGAAGAGGACGAAGAATTATCACTTGCTGATTCATATGGCGTAATTCCAATGCCTATTGTTGATAGTTTTGAAGGAGAATTCTACAAGGGGCAGATATTTCACTCGAAACAAGCTGCACAGATGGCGATTAAACACCACGTACTACAATGCAACTTTCAATATGGCGTGGTGGAGTCGTCACCTTCAATATGGAAGGTCAGATGCTTGAGGCACAAGGATGACAATTAACCTTGGATGGTGTGGTTTGGATGTCGAGATGTTGGGGGCGAATGGACTGTGAGAAAGGCTGAGTTGGTGCATTCTTGTAGCAGTACGACTCAACCGACGGATCATCGTCATCTTGATGTCGACATGATATCTGAGGCCGTCAAACATTTGGTACGTGCCCAACCAACTCTGAGTGTTCTAACTGTTCAAGCCGAGTTGAAAGATAAGTTTAATATGCAAGTTACTTACAAGAAGGCTTGGTATGGGAAACAAAGAGCATTGGAGAAGTTGCATGGAAATTGGGAAGAATCCTAAGATTTTTTGCAAACATTCTTGCGGGTGGTCAAGAGAAAAATGCCAACATCGGTGATTGGTTGGGTAAGAGTTCCTTCGACTCAACCAGGTCATTCAATATTTCAGCGAGTATTCTGGGCTTATGGACCTTGTATAGATTGATTCAAGAATTGTCCAGGCGTCATGGTTGTGGATGGAACATTTCTTACTGGGAAGTATAAAGGAGTGCTACTCATGGCGAGCTCATTTGATGGTCGGAAGAAGATTTTTCCAATTGCATTTGCCATAGTGGAGAGCGAGAATACTGAGAGTTGGCCATGGTTCATGAGGAAGGTTCAGGGTTTGACTGATCGAAATGATGTATGCATCATCTCAGATAGACATGCAGGACTCTATGAAGCCATGAATAACATCGGAAGAGGTTGGGAGTGGAGGTGGTGCATGCGACACTATGCAAGCAATTTGCAAAGGAAGACTAAAAGCAAAATTATGTATAATCAACTATTTCGAGTCGGTAAGCTTTCTTCATTTAATTTTGTTATTTGTTTTCATGTAATTTTGTCATGAATTTATCTAACCCGTGTTGTGGTTTATTTTGTTAGCCGGAGAAAAACGGTTGGAGAAGTTTGATCGTCAAGTTGAGCAATTTAAGAAGGTGGCCGCTGATAGAAATATTTCATGTGATAACTGGGTGGATCAACATCAGATTCGTTGGAGTTTAGCACATGATAACTACAATGGTGGGGGTCGTTGGTCTATCCTGACATCCAACATGGCAGAAAGCGTCAATGGTATTTTCAAAGGTATTCGTGCACTTCCTATAGCTTCTCTTGTGCAGCATACCTATTGGCGATTGGTGGAGAAATTCGATAAGTATAGGATGGAGACAGGAGCAGAAATTAGAAGTGGCGGTTCACAGTACTCCACCAAGTGCGAAGAGCTGATGAAGTACAGGTCACCAAAGACAATTGGACATTCTGTGACGGGGTATTCTCATTCTAGGTTAAAGCAGAAACAACAGGAATTTGATCAGGATTCAAGTCATTCAATCATTCAAACCTCAATCGAATATAATCAATCATAGAATCAGTACTTGGGTTCATACAATCAAACCTAACATACAAATCTAGGGTTCTCCATACCCAGATGAATGGGAGAACTACTCCATGGAGAAAGAAACAAAAGCAGAATCAGATGCGGAATACATACTGCGAAGGATGGATTCCTGCTTCTGGACGTTGATCGGCACTTCTCCAAGCTCAAACAAGCCTCCAATGGTGTTGAAGATCAAGCTAGGGCGCTTGGAGACTCTTGTTCGTCGCTTTCTCTCTCTAGGAACTGATCTCTCTCTCTAAAACTCGAATCCCCTTGAATTGTGGCTGAAAATCTGCTTAAAAGCATCAGTGACCAAAGCACGGTCGAGGACACGGCCGTGCTTTGCCTGAGTCCGCCCGTGTCTCGGCCAGGCTTAATTACACGGCCAGCAGTTGGGAAGAAACACGGCCGTGCTTCGCGTTGGACACGGCCGTGCTTTGGTGGAATCCGGCCGTGCTTTGTCTCGGCCCTGCCCGTGTAATCAGCTCAGCTCTCGGCATAAAAAGCACGGCCACAGGAACACGGCCGTGTAATGCCTTAGGGGGTGCCCGTGTTTTGGCTCCAGCTTGACGAAATGACCTCCGAATGCCCCGAAACTCGTGCTTAGCCTTCCCTTCGACGCCTGGGACCTAAAATATGACAAAATAGCACAACCCGGCGTAAAATAGGCCAAAACACACGACTGTGGCCCTCAAACGGATAAGAACTAGGGGCGCAAACATGTGCAATTACATCGTTATCAAATTCCCCCACACTTAACCGTTTGCTTGTCCTCAAGCAAACCAAGTCAGACACAAGGTAAGCTCAAAACAACAAGGCATGACAATCGGCACAAAACACGTGGATCATACTGGCTTTCGATCATTAACACATGGACAACTTCAATGACAACCTAGACAACCACCACAGATGACATTCGAATGCTGTAAAATCGAGCAAAGGAAGAGTCTCCCTTCTGTTCACCAACCAACATAGACTTGACTCAACCACTTGTTCAAAACAGTCACATCATGCACAAAGTTCAAGATATCAGAATTAAGACCGAGCAATCTAGGTCCTCACTGGGATAAAGAGTATACAGAATAAGAGAAAATGAATCGCTCACTCTCGACCAGTGGGGTCAGGACAATATGATGCGAAAAATGCGCATGCTCAATCTCTCAATCCCTAACATCTCTTCACCATGAATGCAACCTCTAAGTGCTAGAGTTCACATATGGGGTGTCATCACTAACTAATCCGGAGGTCTTAGACACAGGTTCAGATGACTGGCTAGGGTCTTGGACATGGGGAAAAGGCCTTTTAGGTGGTGGAAGTATTCATACAGCACAAGGTTCCACATTTCCAAACCCAACAGATTCACAATCAATCGAACCAATAACCTTCTTTCTGCTATTTTGCATTACTCAATTTCAGAACACAAGAGCGAAGGAGGTTACATGAATGCTAGTATTTCTAAGTCAGACTGCTAAGAAACACTACTACATGGGCATTATTCAGATTTTTGGTGGTGGCTCTCTTTTGCTTTCATTTTTTTTTTCTTTGATTTTCTTTCATTATTTTTCATTTCCTAAGAGAACCACCACCTCTGCAAATTTTCAAACACCTGCCCAACTTTTAAGCACTACCTCCAACCCTCACATTACATTTAGCAGAAATAGCAGAGAACATGTAAAAATCACTCCGTGGAACCTTCTAAAAGATGCAAAAGGGTGACTTTTCATTGAAGACCGAAAGAAAGGAAAACACACGGCTCAAAAGGGGCTGATTAGGGGTATGACACACTAGGACAGTCAATTTGGTCGTGGGCTAATCCTATGCCTCCATCATCTTAGCTAATGACAACGTGAATGCTGCATATCATGGAAGAGGAAACTATCGCACAAGAAAGAAACGAGCAGGCTCAAATCTCACATGGCTACCTATATGCTCTATCTCTCATTCTGATTCCCTGTACTAGATGCATAAATGACTGTCAAAAGCAAGTGATCAAACCAAGTCACATTTGGTGAGCAGACAGTTGAAAAAAAACTGAACCCCTACACAATTCTACTGCACATCTCAGTCGTCACAATCAGTTGTCTAAGCCACACTCAAGTTGTCATGTATCAAGTCAAAAGTCATTCAATTCACTAATCACATCCACAGTGCCAATACGATCAATCATCAAGCAAACAGCCGTGCTTGGAGCCCTCAAATCTCAAGATTTGGACAGTGGACTAGGCTCCAAGAACACATATATATACGTTCCAATTCATACAAAGAACCCCCCCACACTTAAACGCGACAATGTCCTCAAT